CTCATGTGCTCTCTGTCTCTCTCATTCTCTCTGTCTCAAATAAATAAATAAAATCTTTAAAAAAAAAATCAAATAAATGCCAAACATAAGAAAACATATACTCCCTGGATGTGTAGGATGCTGCCTGATTTTGGTAAAGCCTGTATCTACTCAATGACTTTACAAGCTATGAACTTGGCATGATTACTTTGTACTCATGATCTTCTATTTCCTAATCTGTGAAATGGGAACATCACCCACTGCCCAGAATCACACCATTGCATTTAGTTGCCTACTTTGCCTTTACTTTAGTCCTTCTTTTCTCAATCCATGTTTCCATTCAGCATGAAGACCAGTCTTTTTAAAATGTAAATTAGATCCTGTCACTCCCTGATTTAGAGTGGCTCCAGTGTCTTCCCAACTCTTTTATGTACAATCTCCGGGTGGTCTACTGGACCTCCATGATCTGGTCCTTGCCTACTTGTCCAGCTGCCTCTCTTAACACTCCTTCCTTCATTCATAACTCCTGTCATTCAGACTTCCTTTGGGATCCTTACAGACCAAGCCTTTTCCTGTGTAGGGCCTTTACACACCTGAAACTGCCCCTGGAATGCTTTATATCCACTCTTTATGTCATCCTTCAGCTCTCACCATAGATGACATTCCCTCACTAAGGTCTTTCATGACTGTTTCAATTTTAATTAGCCCAGTGTACCTCCCCCACCAGTATTCTTGCCTACATCATCCATTTACTTTCCTTCTAGAACTTAATGAACCCATAATTTTATATCTATTTACTTATCTGTTTATATACTATCCATCTGGCTGCAAGCTCTATGAGGTGTAGCTAGCACACCTGATTTACTTCCCCTTGGATAGTCAAAGTCTGGAACTTGTACAGTGCTAGCAACTAGAGGCAGTTCAATGACTACTCACTGAATGAACAGATGAAATAGTGAATGAATATGTGAATCGGTGACTGAATATGAGGGAAGGTACTTTGTGGAGCTCTGTGCAAACTAGGCATATTTACTGTCAGGTGGATGATGGTTTAGTCACTCATCAAAGTATTTATTAGAAACCTAGGATGTGTCAAGATGTACAGGGGACTATATGACCATCCTCTAAAACAGAGCATCTAAAGAAGCAGAAAGAAAGGCTCAGTGGCCATTAAGGTCCATGTGGTTCCTGACTCCATCCCAGAACTTTTATAATCCCATTGTCATCATAGAGCCAGTCATGTGACCCTGAGCAGCTAGGCATGGATTGTGGTTGTTGTAATGGAACTCCACCCTCCAGAGTGAGGAAGTCTTTTTCTCCACTCCTCATTCCCCACCTGCAAGTGTATTGCTATAATTATTATTGTTGCTAGTCCCGGAGTAATTCATAGATATTCAAAATATATAGAAAACCAGAAGGAATAAAAAGGGAAGGGTAATCATCCTATATTCATTCCACCACCCAGAAACTGCTGTTGATATTTTGTCATGTTGCAGTTATTTGGACAGCATTGAGAAGCTGCTCTAAATTCAGTTTTGAATATGATTTTTTCACTGAACATTGTATCTTACACATTTTCCATGAGATTTCATAGAATATTTTTGTAACGACTGCTTACCATTTCATTGAACATATTAATCTTAGACTATTTCATCATTCTCCTTTCACTGGATATTAATGTACTTGCAAAATTTCTACCTATGTATGATTTCATATTAACACTGATAAAGCTGAGGATGCAAAATCCACAATTTGAGAGTCTAGACTAGGTTAGTTATGAGTCTTAGCAACATGTCTCAGTGACTGGTATTTATCCATCTATCTATCCAGCCACCCAGCCACCCACCCACCCATCCACTCAGCTACTCATCTGTCCATCCATCCGTCCTTCTGCATATGTTGGCCACCATATATGCAGATAATCAGGAGAATGATCTGTTCAGTTATAGGTTTGGGGATGAGTTCCCTGGCAGCTGTATGGAGGAGGAACAGGGAACACCAGCAGACTGATGCTCACCAGTGTACTCTTTCTTACCATGTGAACCCAGGGGCTACAGAGCTTCCCTATGAGGGGAAAGCTATAAGGCTCCTCCATTGCATCTTTCAGGTAGCTAAAGGATAAAGGTCCTTCTAGGAATGATGAAAAAGGTGTTGGCAGGACCATTGCATTTTGAGAAATAATGGGCTGATCCCTCTCCCCTCCTGGCAGCTGCCTTCTAAACAGATGCCAAATCTGGAGAACAAGCAAGATCCCAGAGGCTGTTGTGGCTAAGGGGAGATTGAATCCAGATACATAAGACACTTGACAGAGGAAGCCACCATAATATTCCACTTCTGGGGCTCTTCCCTTCAAGGGATTGGCTTGCCCCTTGGAAAGCTGCTAAAATGAATTAGATGCCGTGGTAAGGAAGCTGCTTTTGACTCTTAAATCAGAGGTGATTCATCCATTCCCAGAATGTCAGGCCTGGAAGGTTCTATAGGTATCATCTGGTTCAGCCAACTCATTTTCAGATGAAGGAACTGAATCGTGCCTTCTTTTTATTTAATACCTAGGACACAGGATGGTGCCTGGCATATGGGAGGTACCTGACAAACACTGTTAAAATAATAAAATTTGAGGTCAAATGGAGCTAAAGATTTTTTCACAACCACACATCAAATCCTCAGTAGAGCTTTGGATGTCTGATGAAACTAAGATTAGTATGGGTAGTAAGTCCTTGGCCTGTTGATTCTGTACTGCTTGAAATTAAAGAAGTATATCTACCATCAGGACAGAAGCCACATAAGTCCAAACAAGATCTTTGCTGGGCAATGGGGAGGAATTTCACTCATGGTCGTATTCTGAAAACTTTGGCAAGGATAAGGAGGATGGGGGTAGCAAGGAATTGTTATGTCTTCTGCCCTGGTGCCTTAGGCCTAGCTGGATCAGGAGCTCATTCAACTGTTCCTAAGTCGGTGCATTTCCCTTCTTTCCTTGGCCTCCTAGAGAATTGGGATCAGCATGTGACCTTTGCCTGGAAGGGAGAATCCTGGTGCAGTATGCCATCAATGCTTCCTCCCCAATGCCTTGTGGCCCATCAGGACACTGGAGTCCTCGAGAAGCAGAAGGTAAGCCAGTCTGGAAGCTCACTTACAGATTGGGGGTGCAAAGAACAACTCTTTTGATGTAGATGGAGCTTTATGATTTTAACAGTCTTTTCTGCATACTATCTCAGTGGATCTTACGATTGCCTGGCAAGGCCAATTTACTTTGTTTCTGTCTTTTCCCCTAAGCTTTATTGAGACATAATTGACATGTAACATTGTATAGGTTTAAGGTGTACAAAGTGATGATTTGATACATGTATTATTGCAAAGTGATTATACCACAATAAAGTTAGTTAACACATCCATCATCTCATACTTTTTGTTTGTTTGTGAGCTCATGTAAGAACTACCCTCTAGGCAATTTTCAAGTATATGATAGAGTATTGTTAACTATAGTCACCATGGTGTAGATAAGAACTCCAGTGTTTATTCATCATACAACTGGAAGTTTGTGCCCTCAGCCCAAGATCAAGGCCAATATTCATGCATCGATTCAGCACATGTCCTTTGAACTCTTGCACTGTCTTAAGTATGTCATCCCACTTTACATACGAGGAAACAAAGATGCTGAGATATTGAACAAGTGCCCGAGGCCACACATCTGATAAAGACATGGTGTGTATGTGTGTTTATGTGTGCCTCCAGACCCTGACGGCCTGTTGGTGCACAGATCACCTTAGAATCAGCACACATACCTGGGGGAGGGGTCAAGTTTTCAGTAGTCTTTGTCTTCTTTAGTTGTTGCTAGGAAGATCCAGGACATCCACACACATGCCACAAATATCCCTCTTGAAGTTTTCTGCCGTGTACCCTCCTTTTTGGGATCCATCTATCAGCAAGACACTGGAGGGAAGCACCTCATCATTGCCACTGTTGGTGGGCTCTCCCCATGACCGGACCCTCCCCTTCCCGGGGGTCTCCCAGGCCCTCCTAAGGGCCAGCAGTCTCTGTGCTCTCTTATGGCCCCGCTCACTGCCAGACTCACTGGGTTTTCTGCAGAATTTAAGAGAGTGCCTTTAGCACAATGCTTTGTTCCACCAGCACTTGACCCCGACAGCAGCCACTTGGAACTTAGAGAACCTCGTGGAAAGTTGCCTACTCAGTTTCCTTCCACAATATCCCCTTCTTTAGGGCTCAGTTCTAGTGCCCGAAGCCCGGCTGGCAGAGACCCCATGTTCTCCCATGCCCTCAGAGCTTATGCTCCACCCCCCAGTGTCTCTTGCTCCTGTGCAGGCAGCTCTCGTCCATGGTTCCTGGGTGGGGACTCCAGCCATCAGAGAGAACAGAATCTGATTCCTCCCTGAGGTTCAGCAAGAACTCCCTCCGTTTTCTTTTATATTTTTAGAAAGAAGGTTGAGAAGAAAAAGCCAGAGAATAAAGCAAGGGAGAAGGATCAGAGAGGAGAGTGAAGGAGAAAAATGACAGCACTGTACTTTGTTATCTTCTAAAGTAGCTTAAAATAAAAATGAGAGCTGAACTCGGGAACTCTAAACAAATCCATCTGGAATGTAAAGTGAGAGGGATGTCTGGGAGAAGCCCTCAGCTCAGGCCCCCAGGATCACAGGCTGTCAGACTTGGAAGGGGGGCCTGGCTCATCTAGCCCCAGTTCCCACCCAGTGCAGGAATCCCCCTGGTGCCCTCCCTCATCCAGGGTCTCCTAGCACCAGCATGTACATTCCTGGGCCTTCCATTCTAACTCCATTTGTTAGAAAGTTCTTCCTGAAATCTACAATCATGACTTTTCTATCCCAACAGAACCCACGTTGGGTTCTCATGGAAGAAAGGTCATGTCTCTGCCAGCTGACAAATTGTGTCCATGCAGAGTGAACCAGTCTCATCTATGGCCACCATAGGAGCTACATGCCAGGCACCATGCTTGGTACATGGCCAAGAGAGAGCTGACCATCTAACAGGGGAGTCGGATGAGTAAAAGGGTGGTTCCCATCAACCATCAAGTGCAGCAAGGCCCATGATAACTGAAGCACAGAGTGCCAGGGGAATTAGGAAGAAGCTGACCTCATCCAGAACTGATACCACCCGGGAAATGTCACCACCCCAGCGAGCAAGGCACATTTGAGAACATGAAAAAAGTTTGGTATGTTTAGAGCAGTGGGTTTTTTTTTTTTTCAGTGTGATCTGGAGGCTTATGGGGTTCCTGGAGACTTTTAAGGGTATCCTCAAAATCCAAAATTATTTTCATAATAATGCTATGATATTGCTTACCATTTTCACTCCCATTCTCTCCTGAGAGAGCAGTGGAGCGTTCCAGTGGCTACGTGGAATGTGATGTTATTACTGCTCTGATAGCTAACAGAGCACATGCTTATGTGTTCTTGTGTTTAAAGTTCCTCAGAGTTCATTTATAACATGGTAACTACCAGTAGATATAACCCACATAAATGAAAGCTGTTCAATAATGCTACGAGAGCTTAAGTGGGTTTGGAGCATGAAACGTGAGGTGTGGAGCAGGGGGAGTTTGGACTGGGTGTTCTATAATGACTGGATGAGGATGGGTTTATACTGAGGGCAGCAAGGAGCTACCACATGCTTTGGCGGAGGTCTGGGGCATGGTACGATGTGTGTGTTATAAAGACTGTGGTGAAGAGTCTGGGGATGGGTGTGCTGGAGGAAAGGGAGCAGCTGGGTGGCTGTTGCAGGAATCCAGGAGAGGGATGGTGGTGGCCTGGGTGTGGTCCACGGCTGTGAGAAATGGAGAGAAGTCAATGGAATTGAGAGATATTTGGGAGGTGGAATCAGCAAGACTGTCCCCCAAGACTTCTCTGGCTAAAACCATCTTGGTTTGTTCTACGTGCTACATGAATGAAATAATTTTCAGACATCTCCCCACACCTCCATCCAACCCAACTGTCAATTGGATAAGTCAATTCATGGTTTGCTTCTGACCCTCTTAAAGCATGATATGCAGAGTAGAGTTCATCTGGAAGTGCTGAGCCCCCTGGTTCCCTGAGCTGACTCAGGCATGCAAGGAAACCCAGCAGCCTTGGGTTTTCCTTCAGGATATGTAAATTTAGTGCATGCAGTCCAGGAAAAGACACTGTTCTTTTTTTAGAGCATCCTATTACAGGCTCTGTGATCCTTTTGGCTCAGACCCTTTTAATATCCTTGAAGAAATAAACTTTTCCATGAGCCAAACTCTGCAATTTATTTCTCAACTCATTTTCATCCTATTTATCTTTGCGTGTTTAAGTTTTTGGACTTCCCAAACTAACATAAAACTCCCAAATCCATGAGCGATGCCAGACCTATATTTGGGGTTAGGGAAAGAGTATGGGGTGGGGGGGGGTGAAGAGGACTGGACCTTGGTCCGAGCCCTGCCATCAATGTGCTCTGTGCCCTTGAATGAGTCACTTAGCTTCTCTGAAGAGAGCATCTCATGCACAGAATAAATGTCCTCTCTAGCTCTAATATTCCATGGAATTGTAACTTCTTTAACTCCTTATTAGTAAGATAGAAGGTTTTTTCATTTAACAAATATTTATTGCATATCCACTATCTTCCATTAACTCTATTCCGTGAACTTCAGGTAAATACAGTCACAGAAATTCTTGCCTTTGGCCACAGAAAGTGGTTGGATGCAAAAGAAACCCTGTTTTCGTATCTCTTGAGCAAAAACTGTATTTCATAGATGAATATTTCCTGAGGTGCTCAATACCATGGACACTTGCTACCTAGGACTTTGATAACTAGACCCCGTCAACTCAGATCTCAATTAAGATCACGTATACAAACATAATGCATTGCAATGTTGGGTTTTCCATGAGAGAGGAACACCTGGCACTAGCTGTTTTCATTTTTTATATTTCTGTGAGTCCTTTCCCCATTTTTCTGCCTAGAATATTTCAGGTGTACTGAAGTATTCATCTGGAAAAAACTCGGCACCAAGTTTTTATAACTATATTTGTGTCAACAGCTGCAGTGTATATACACAAAGATATATAATAGATGTCTGTATGGATCTTCATAAATGTAAATTTAAATCAGCATAAGTATGTATAAGTATATTTCACACACTTATATGGCCTCATTTCTAGTGGACAGCTTATATAAACATGTGACTTTTCATTTAGTCACCATATATACAAAAGGGTATGTATTAACGATGAAGTAACGGTACCTTTGCACTTTTCTTTCTTCCCCCTTTCTTCTTTTTTCCTCCCTCCCTCCTTGCTTCCCCTCCCCTCCCTTCCCCTTTTCCTCTGCCCTTCTCCCTGCCTCACAGCCATGCCTGGTCAACTTTCCAGCCTTGTTCTTTTTTCCCCCTTAGGCACTGTGGTTAGTTGTCAACTCCTCTGATGTTCCCTTGTCCAAGCCACAGGTACGATTATCTACATTAGTACAGCCATTTCTCCCCTGGTGTCACTAGACTAGAAGCTCCATGGGGTCAGAGACCGTATGTGTAGAAACTTGTTTCCCTAGGTACTAGCCTAACACTGGACACAGACCAGGCAGTCAATAATTATTCTTTGGATGGATGGATGAATGGACTGACAGGTGGACAGATAGACACATGGATGAATACATAGATGATGGGTAGTGTCTATGACTCTGAACAGTGGCTTTTCTAAAACACAATTCTCACTTGTTTGCTTACAGTTTTTCACTATCCCCCCATCCCTCTCGGTATAAGATGCCGATTCCTTAAAATGACCTATAAGCCCTTTGTGATCTGGGTTCTGTTTAGCTTACTGGCCTCATCTCTTGCCGCTCTCCCGTTGTGCTCAAAACCATAGTCGTCTTCCTTCCCGTTCTCTCTCAGCTGTTCTCTTTGCTTGGACTACCTCTTCCTCCCAAGCTTTTCCCTATTAATTCTTCCCTATGTTTCATAACAAAGCTAAATATTTGTGAGCATTTACTAATATCCCATCCCATTCGAGTTTTACAGCACCCCTGTGAGGTAAGTATCATCAGAGTAGGTGATGGGATGAGAAGCTCTATAGCTGATGCTCTAACCCAGCTTCCATTGCTTCAAAGCTTGGCATGCTCCCTGGACCAACAGTATCACATATATTCCATTCCCCATCAGGGAGTGACTTGACCACCGGAGTCTCAGTTCCCTCTTCTGTGAAATGATTTTTGTAAGACCTGTGCCATAGACTTACTGCCAGGACGAAGAGAGCTGAGGCACATAATGTGCTGGGCACAGTGCCGCGCGCCTAGGGGATGGTCAGTTCGTGGAACCAGGTATGGGTAAAGGGACTGCTGCATTGGTGATGGTTGGACTCAGCACACCCCCGAGGCTCTTTTTTTACATGGAAAAGTTTATCTCTGATAACCAGACAAGCACAAGCTTTGCTAAGATCTCCATTCCTGTTTACTTCCTTGAGTGTCATGTCCAGGCTCACCTTCCTGTCTTTCGGAAAGCATTTAGTCCCTCTGTTAATCAACAAGAAACTCGGGAGAAGGCAGGAGCCAAACCCATTTGTCATCTTTGCTCTCCTGTGGCTCCCACCACTGATAGTCATTTTCTCCAAGGAAGGGAGAGAGATGGCACCATCTCTTGACAGGTCCAGGAGAAAGTGTGTGAAGGGGTGGAGTGCTCACTGGGCACTCCCCGTCAGCAGGAGTCAACGCTCCATGAAGCTCTCGCTTTTTTTTTTTTTTAAGATTTTATTTATTTGTTTGAGAGAGAGAGAGAGCGAGAGAGGGAACACAAGCAGGGGGAGTGGGAGAGGGAGAAGTAGGCTCCCCGCTGAGCAGGGAGCCCGATGCGGGGCTCGATCCCAGGACCCTGAGATCATGACCTGAGCTGAAGGCAGACGCTTAATGACTGAGCCACCCAGGCGCCCCAAGCTCTCGCTTTTTTAACCCAATATTAACAAGATAGGAGATTCTTCATTTCACAAACATTTATTGAATGTCCACTTTGGTCACTGTCTGTGGACCAGGCGCTATATTAAATAAAGGCTACCTGAAATTGAGTGAAACAGAGGGATAAGAGGCAAAAACATAACTGTCTTATGAGATCTTGGTGACAATCAGATGAATAAATTAATGGCTAGGGAATGTGCCTCACACAAACTAAAATGCTACCCTCAGTAAAGCTCTGTGAATAAGTGATATGTATGTGCCAATACCCCACAAAGTTAAGAAAATCAGGAACTCCACTGAGTTGAAGAGTCGACAGGAAGAAAAGCTTCAGCCTCATTAAGGAGGCTTTGACTTAAACCACTGGTCACTTCTAACTAGCCTTTGCTGCAGATAATGGATGGACCTTGCCAAGGAGTGCTGGAGAGAATCCTGTAGTCCTATCCATCTCTTCCTGCTCTTATGTGTTATATCTAAAAAGTCTTTGGAATTTTCCTCACACTCTTCCACTCCCTTTATTTCCTTGTTCTCTTCTCTTCATTTCCACTTGGTGTTTTCTCTCTTCTCCCTTGGCTGGGCAGAGACACAGAGATTGGAGGCATTTTTATAGCCTTCACTGTAGTAGCTTTCCCACCCAAAATGGTTTTCTGGTTTTCATATTGTGATTCCTATGATACTGTAACAGTACCACAAAGCCATTTCAGACAGAGATTGCCTTTTCTCTTTTGCTTTAGAAATATCCAGCATCCCACCTCCCACCAACCAGCGATGTAAAAGAAGAAAAAAAAATGTAGCTAATAGGACAATTTGAGATCTTCCATCCTACCATCACCAGCTGATCTGTATCTCTTGCTAGACTCCTTAAACAAATTAGAGCCAATCACTACACTGAGTCCTGATTACTTTTCTCAGCAGTGCAAAGGAGAGCTCTCTGAGGGTCTAGGACTAATGATCTCAGCAGAGAAAAATTCAGAAGTCGCTGCAGGCTGAGATCAGTGGGGATGAGGCATTGTCTCCCCAGGGAAAAAGTAGAAGAATCCCTCCTTCCTTCTCCCCCCAACCCCCGCCGCCCCACCTTACCCAACCCTCCCCTTCCTGAGTCAGACCGGACAGAGCTCTGAGGAGCTCAGTGGTATGGAATGACCTCATGTGGCTTAAGAGGAGGAGAGATAAGATGGCTCCAGGGCGGCCTTCCAGCTCTGTCATTCATGGTTCTAGACAGTTTCCTCCCAGAATCCTCAGTCCAAGGGGAGAAATGATCTGTGCTCACCTCTTCTTCGCTGAAGGTTTCTGGTTCTTCTGTCATTTCATGCAGGTTGTACTGAAAGCAATACTGCAGGGATCCTAGTTTATTTTAGTGGCCTCTGCATGCAGTAGGGAGAATAAAGAGTATGAACTTCAAGATGAGACAACAGTGGGTTCTAATGCTGACCTTCACATCAAGCTGTGAGACTTTGATCAGTTCACTCCACATTTCTGAGCCTTAGTTGCCTCACCTCTGAGATGAGTCTTTGCAAGAAGTAAGCAAGTTCAGGGGACATATGGGTGTTTGGCAAATGTGTGTCCCTCCCTTCTTTCCATCTAAGGCAGCAAAGCCTACAAGTAGGATATGAAGAAGGAAAGTTGGGGCATTCACTAAAGAGTAAGATACTTATTGAATGTAGTTTTGACCAAATGTTTGGTGATTCATTCAAGATCTGTATTGCAGGGGTGGAGACGAGCTGGGTGCTATGCATACAGCTGATTCACTAGAACACTGAGAATCTTCCTTCTCCTTTCCCCTCTCTCTGAGCTCAAGTCAGGCCAGTCTCTCCTAGTGTCTACAGGGCTTTCAGGAACTCATACCCTCATCTCTTCTCCATAGGTCATCCAGATGTTGAACAGCCCTGTAAGTCCAGTGTCCGCACCTGGAGCCCAAATTCAGCTGTCAACCCACACACAGTCCCTCCAGCCTGCCCTGAGCCACAAGGCTGCTACCTTGAACTGGAATTCCGCTACCCCTTGGTCCCTGAGTCTTTAACCATCTGGGTGACCTTTGTCTCCACTGATTGGGACTCTAGTGGGGCTGTCAATGACATCAAACTGTTAACTGTCAGTGGGAAGAACATCTCTCTGGGCCCTCAGAACGTCTTCTGCGATGTCCCACTGACCATCAAACTCCGGGATGTGGGTGAGGAGGTATACGGCATCCAGATCTACACATTGGATGAGCACCTAGAGATTGATGCGGCCATGTTGACCTCCATTGCAGACAGCCCACTCTGTCTAGAGTGTAAGCCCCTGCAGTACAAGGTGGTCCGGGACCCTCCTCTCCACGTGGATGTGGCCTCCCTCCTACACCTCAGTAGAAGATTCACGGACACGTAAGTGCACTCTCTGGATAGGGAGATGGTCAGATGGGTGGGCTGCAGACGAATGTAAGGAGGCTCAGAGAGGCCTGCCCTAGAAGAAGGTTCATTACTTCTAGGAATTCATAACCTGGCATTGACGGTAGAATTGTCCTAACATGGCAGGGTTGATATGGTGGGAATGGCAATGCACAAGGAACCAGAAAGCCTGGATTTTTGGTGAGAGCTCTAATGTAATGCTAAGACTCCCAGACCTCTCTTAGTTTCCCCAACGATAAAATGAAAGAGGCTGAGTAAGATTAGCAACGAGAAAGTCATGTGTTACTCATGAAATTGGAAGAACTGACGTTTGCTAGTGATTTCCTATATATATATTTATTTAAAGATTTTATTTATTTATTTGACAGAGAAAGACAGTGAGAGAGGGAACACAAGCAGGGGGAGTGGGAGAGGGAGAAGAAAGCTTCCCGTGGAGCAGGGAGCCAGATGTGGGGCTCCATCCCAGGACCCTGGGATCATGACCTGAGCCGAAGGCAGACACTTAACGACTGACTGAGCCACCCAGGCACCCCTTGTTTTTATATTTAATTGAAGAAGATTCATGCATTGTGATTGCTTTTTCAGTGAGTGAAAAGGGCATGAAGTTATAGCAGGATGTCTAGAAATTGAGCGTGTTTCCGCATATTTGCATGAGAATGTTCCTGGAAGGTGAACATAACTAGTCACAGTCCTTGTTTGGTTCCCTTTTCTGAAGTGGAAGAGAGGTTCAAACTCATTTGATCCTTAAGAGCCCTTGTAGCTCTAGGTCTCCAGGAGCCTTCTGGGATACTCACAGCTTTTATGTGAGATAGTGCTTGCCCTTAATATTCATTTCTCAAGCTATCTCTTCCTCAAACATCCTCAGGATTTATGTTTTAGGAAAGAGGCCACCTTACAGTGACCTCATTAGTGCTTTGCCTATATGCCAGACAGTGGGCTGAGATCTTTGCATCTTTTACTCATTTCATCCTCTCCATAACCACAGCCCAATTATCCTTCTTGTTTTACAAAGAAGGGAACGACAGCTTAGAGATGTGAAGTCACTTGTCCAAGATCACATAGTTAGAGAGAGTGGTAAGATCAAGGTTCTGTCCTAACTCCTAAGCCAGTACCTTCAACCAGTGTTCAATTAAAGATGTGGTTTCAACTTCTGCTTAATCTAACCGACCTAACTTGGGTACCAAGAGTCTACGAAATTAATCACCAAACGTTTGTTGAACATCTACTATGTGCAAGGGATATGGGTCGGGAACACTTTGAGTACTGGAGAGAACAATAGCTCAGAAGTCAGATACCTTGTGTTCAGCTCCAGCCAGTCCACTTACTAATTTTAGATAAATCCGACAATCTCTTTGAGCCTTACTTCCCTCTTCTGTGTGATGAAAATGCTCAAGTCAATGGTTTCTATGCCCCTCTTGTGGCACTTTCTTTGGTTCTAAGATGATATAAGATCCAATCTCTGCTCTGTCTACGTGAAAACATTTGCTGAGCCAATCATTAATAGAAACCAAATTTTGGAGGAAACTTTTAATCTTTTTAAGAGTTAGAACCACTTTCAAACACTTTACCAGCACTCCCTTTTACATGCCAGCAATTAACGTGCACATCACAAGCGGACCCTTGCCCATTCATTGACTCAGAGATGAAGAACATCTGTTCAAGAACTCAGAGGGAACACTTGGTTTGTGTTTGAGAATGTACTTAAAATTTAAAGGATCATCTTGCCTTGAAAATATTCCATAACTCTGTCTCTTTCATCTTCTTGCTTGTCTAGAGTGGTAAAGTTCTATAAATATGCATCCACTTAAAATTTCTTTATAAAACAATGGAGAGAAGAAGTCATAGATGCCTTAAACTCTCAGTTTAAACACAGCTTTCATTTTTTGCCTGGAGTTGTGCGCCTGTAAGAGCTGACATGGGTTGGGTTGGTAAATGTGGATGGGTAGAAATTCAACTGAAGAAGTGGGAGCCCCCTGAGTTCCATTCCCAGATAGTCATGAAATTGCTCTAGGATCTTAGGCTAGTCGCTTACCCTTTCTGGCCTTCTGAGGCCTTTATCTATAAAGAGGAGGTTGTACTAGACTGGGGGTTCTCAAAGTTAGATGCATGTCATGGAAATTTGGGGCATTTTAAAATCTCTTGTGTTTCCCCAGCATCCCCTCTCCAACCCCATCCCCCACTGCCCCAGGTACTCGATTAACTGGTAAGGGGGATAAAGCTGGGCCATCAGAACTTTTAAAATCTCACTGGATGATTATAATGTGGACCCATGTTTAAGAGCCACTGCCAGTTCTCAGAGTAGGGCCCCAGACCAGCAGCAGCAAGACCTGAGAACTTAGGGCAAGTCCTTAGATCCCAGCCCAGACAACTGAATCAGAAACTCAAATATGGGGTCTTCCCAAATGACTCGAATGCTGGCTACAGTTTAATAGCCGCTGCTGTAAGTGATCTTTAAGGTTCAGGGACTTCCAAGGTCTCTTTCCCAATACTCATTCAATTTACAAATCTGTTTTGAGAACATTCTGTGTGCCAGAGTGTTCACTGGGAGCTAGGTATTTCAGGGATGACCCGGCTCCTTTCCTGTAGACACTCACACTTCAGTGCTGAAGCCCTTAACCACATGGTTAAAAACACCCAGTCCTGTCCCACTTTGCTTCCAGAACCACCACTATTCAGACACACACTCTTACGCTCCATTTGTTCTTTCATTCACTCAACAAATCTTTCTTAGGCCCTGCTCTGATGTTTCAGACACACGGGCTAGACTGAGGCTTTCACTGACTTCCTCTATGTCTTTCTCGAGTCCCAAGGAATTTACTGGAGACCTAGGCTGAACTACATTTCCTGACCTGAATGTTCTCTGAGACTCTAAAAAACGTAAAACATCATTCCAAGTCAACCTACCATTTCAACCCCTTTATCTCTTGGTAATTCGAGTTCTGAACTCCAACACAAATACCTCTTTGTGTGTGTGTGTGTGTGTGTGTGTGTGTGTGTGTGTGTGTGTGGTGTGGTGTGTGTGGTGTATTTTGCTGCTTTCACATTTTTTCCATATCAAATAAATTGGCTCTTATACAAGTTCTATATAAAGACTGTTTTGGAGAAAAAGAGGAGAGAGAAAAAAAATGCTTTCTTTTTCTTCCCTGACCCAACCCATTACATGATTCCCTTTGACCTTTGTCTTCATTTTTTTCTCTCAACAAAAATATTTATTCTTTCCTTTATCTATACTGGAGATAGTTTCCCAAGGTATGACATTGATGAAGGGAGAGGCTTCTGTGCTTACCCAATGGACACTTCTAGGAGACTGATTACTTTTGGCCAGGAAGAGGAAAAAATATGGAACTTCTCCATTCCATGGAAACCCGTCCATTGAATGACAAGTGACACTGGTGGAGGAAAAGGGGACCAGCAGTGACTTTGCCACTAATTTACCATATGTTGTTCAGACACATTGCATCGTGGCCTTGCTCTTCAGTTTCCCTCTTTGTAAAATGAGGGGGGCGACACATTAAACTCTTCTCTGTGGGTAGACATCGTCCTTAGGTGACAGGTGATTCATTCCACTTTTTTTTTGTAGTAAAAGGGACCTTTAAAAAGCCAGTAAAAGGGAGTTAGCAGAGACTGTTTTTAAGAATCAGTACCCAGAGGGGACCTCACTGATTCACCGGGATGCCCTAGTACAATGTGTAGTGTGTGGACAATAATAATAAAAATAACAATAATGCCAACCATTTGCTGAGTATTCTCTCTGCTTTAAGTGCCTTGCCAAATATTTATGAGGTAAAGCTCAGAGGAAAAGCTGAGGCTGAGGAAAGCGATTTATTCAACCTAATACAGCTGGTAATGGCAGAGCCAGGATTAAAACCCACATCTAATTCCAAATAACACCTTCTCAACCAAAGCACCATATTGCCTTCTGCTGTAATAAGGCAAAGGCAGAATTCTAGAGCTCAGACATTCATCCAAGCTGGCTAAAGTTTGAGATACAGCAAGTGGAAGATAGGATATGATTCACGAGCCACCAGCCCTCAGTCAGTTACTGTGACCCACTCTGGGAGTCCAGCAACACAGTTACATGGCCAGTTCCTTATGTATCTGGCTGGGAAGAAAGAACAGGGAAGCTTCTGTTTCTCAACTTGACTGCCAGGTGCTTTTGTACTGGCCACTGTGCTCCTTGGGTCTGCATAGAATCTTTAGATTTCTCAAAGAAGTAAAGACTCTGGACAAAACTAAGCCTTTTTTTTTTTTTCTTAGAGAAATTGAGGTATAAAGCAAACCAGAAACAATGAATAGCAGCTCACTCTTTTCATCTATGCATCTATGCATGTATCCATCATCAATTCATTCAGCAAATATTTAGCAGTGTCCATCAGGTAGCATGTACTGTTAGGAAATGATGATACCGTGGTGCCAGGACAGGCATGGAGTCTGAGCTCATGGTGCCCACACTGTGAGGAAAGAGGGAAGCAGTGTTACCGCAGTATAGTAATGTGCTGAAGGCAAAGACATAGACAAAAAGTGGCTTCTAACCCAAACTTGGAAGAGCCGAGGTACAATTAAGGAATATAAACTTCCTGAGGAGTGGATTTTTTTTTCCTGTATGTCTGCTAGTGCTTTCCAAGTGCCAAGAACAATTCCAGGTACAAAGTAGACAGTGAATATTTTTGAATGGCTGTTGAATGAAGAATGGGAAGGAGTTTAGTGGTTGAAGAGAAATGGAGGAGCTATAATTTACTGAGCACCTACTATATGTCAAGAACTTACTAAGGGTGTTACTTAAGTAGTCTCATTTGATTTGATCTGCACAGCAGCTCCACAAAGTAGGTAGTCTTCTTCCCAGGTTATAAATGAGGACCTGGCACTCAGGCTTTAAACAGCTGTCAACCTGCCTAGGGGCGTTGTATGTAAATCCATCAACTCCAAAGCTAGTGCTCTTAGTCATTCGTTCTCTGGTTGAACAGGTATGTTTGTGCCTCT